TCAAAAGAAGGAATATCGCCAGATCCTGCCAAACTGCGTGCCGTTGCCGAGTACCCCAAGCCTACTATCCTAAAGGAGCTTCGTAGTTTCATAGGCTTGTGTTCCTATTTTCGGCGTTTCATTCGCAATTTTGCCTCTATAATTGCCCCTCTGACTCAGCTTCTCTCCCGTAGCACGGACCTCTCTGGCTGGAATTCCCACTGCGATGAGGCATTCACGGCGCTACGCCGGCTACTCATCTCTCCGCCAGTTCTCCGCCACTTCGATCCCAATGCACCCACTGAAATTCACACGGATGCAAGCGGTGTCGGCCTCGGTGCCATTCTCGCTCAACGCAAGGATGGCTGCGACGAGTACGTTGTCGCCTATGCCAGCCGTACACTAACGAAGGCAGAGTCCAACTATTCCGTCACGGAAAAGGAGTGCTTGGCTATCATTTGGGCTATAGGAAAATTTCGCACCTACCTTTACGGACGCCAGTTTGATGTTCTCACAGATCACCATGCCTTATGCTGGTTAGCGTCCATGAAAGATCCTACTGGCCGCCTCGCTCGTTGGGCTTTACGCCTTCAGGAATACGATATCCGTGTTGTTTATCGCTCAGGACGCAGACATTCAGACGCCGATGCACTATCCCGTTCTCCACTGCCTCGTGACCTTGCCTGCTTATCAACTGCCATTTGCGATTCGTCATCGTTGAGCATCACTGACATGCCATCCGAACAGCGCAAGGATCCCTGGATCAATTCTTTGCTCGACGTCCTCTCTCACAGTTCGTCAGAAACGACTTCACGCTCCCTCTCTCGTCAAGCAAGACACTTTGCTGTCCGTGAAGGCTTGTTGTATCGCCGCAATTACGTGACGGATGGCCGTAGGTGGCTCCTTGTCATCCCTCGTCATTTGCGTTCGGACATCTGCGCTGCCTTTCACGATGACCCCCAGTGTGGCCACGCTGGAGTATTTAAGACTTACTCTCGCCTTCGTCTAAGATACTACTGGCGCGGCATGTATCGGCACGTTCGCCAGTACGTTCGGTCATGCACCACGTGTCAACGACGCAAGACGCCTTCTCACAGCACTGCTGGCCCTTTGCAACCCTTAACCTGCCCAGCGAGACCATTCGACCGCGTCGGAATTGATATTTATGGTCCTCTACCCAACTCTCTTTGAGGCAACCGGTGGATTATCGTCGCCGTGGATCATTTAACACGCTACGCTGAAACATCTGCGCTGCCTGCTACCACTGCGAAAGACGTTGCGTCCTTTCTTCTTCACCATCTCATTTTGCGACACGGTGCACCTCGTGAATTACTCAGTGACCGTGGACGCGTGTTCCTCTCGAACGCCGTCGACGAGCTACTCAAGGCATGTCGCACTGTCCATAGGAAATCCTCGGCATACCATCCTCAAACCAATGGCATGACAGAACGCTTTAACCGTACCCTTGGAGACATGCTTGCCATGTACGCCTCCGACGACCACACTAATTGGGACCAAGTGCTCCCTTTTGTCACGTACGCGTACAACTCTGCGCCACAAACAACCACTGGCTTTTCTCCTTTCTTCCTTCTGTACGGACGTGAGCCATCATGCTCCATGGACACCATTCTCCCTTACAGGCCTGATGTTTCCGAAGCGACGCCTGTTTCCGAAGCAGCTGCTTATGCCGAAGAGTGTCGTCAACTCGCTCGCTCATTTACCGCACAAGACCAATGGCGCCAGAAAACTGACCACGATTCCTCTGCGTCTACTGTACACTATAACCCAGGAATGCTGGTTTGGCTCTGGGTCCCGTCTACCCCTCCCGGTCTTTCCCCGAAGCTTTCGTCGAAATACCATGGCCCCTACCGTGTGGTGCGGCAAACATCTCCTGTCAACTATGAAGTTGAGCCCATTGATCCACCCTCGGACCAACGCTGCCGTGGGCGTGAAATAGTACACGTATCACGCCTCAAACCGTGCTATGACCCCCTTGTCGTGTCCTTTCCCTAGGTCGCCAGGTTGGCTCCTTTCTGCGCGGGGAGTAATTGTACCGAAGCATAGTGGCGCCAGCTCTGTGCCAGCGTGAAAGAAGACGTTGACGTCCGTGTGTGGCTCATGCTTGCCGGGTTCCTGCCTGTACCAGCTTGTTGCGGCTAACGTTTCTGGAATAATAACCTGTGTTTTCACGCAACCTTGCTCGTTGCACTATGAAATTTGCTGAAATTGCCCCATGCTGTTCCAAAATGCCAAACCAACCAAAAATTTTCTCAGTTGCGCTAATTTCAGCAAGAAATGAAGGCCGCCAATGTTGCTCACCTGCAGTTCGAGTCATCAATCAATCCAAGCACGCAGACTTTAACCTTAAACCACGGTAAACTAACCACACTAACCTTAATTACGTCAGGGCACACGCGAAATGCGATCGACCAGATAAAGAACAAAGCCGTGTGCCCATCGGTCCTCTGACCGCAAAGGATGCCTATTGGCGAGACAACACAACATTAAGACAAAAATGCGTTGCCGTAGCCATGAACGCCTCGCGGGAAATATGAACTTCCTAGTCAGCAAAAGCGGGTATGGCATCTTAGCAACTAGTGCTTGGAGCACATACCGCGTTTTCCGCCCGTGAATAGAGTCGACGTGCGGCAAGCATCGGCGACCACGTTGGTTACCATAGCAACGGCACATAAAACATTTTTCTTTCTTGAAGTTGCGTTAGTTGCGTCGTCCTGACGATAGATATCCGGTGCTGTCACTGGACCAACGGGCGTGCTGCGCCACTGTTACTTTGTCTGGTAGAACGCGCCTTGTAAGCGAGCCGAGAGGATGAGTTCTAAATCTAACACCCATTGTAGAAGAAGTGGGGGGGGGGGGGGGGAGGCGTAGTGGTGTTCGAAAGTTTATTGGATTGGCCTTGCTCTAACCCGTGCAGAACGGTGCTTCAACCATTTTTGCCCCAATACACTGGTGAACCATGGAAAAGCATGTTATGATTTGGAAGGGGTTGTTAGCATCGCTTACGGGACAGCAAATTTCGTTCAATTACTCATGCATGTAGACTACCTCATAATTCCGAGCACTAGTATGATCGCCTAATTCTGAAAAATTACTGACAATCATTTGGAGCAGAGTATGACAGTAAAAAAAATTTTAAAAAGAAACTGCACTAGTTTTTTTTTTTTTTTCACCACTCCTACTCCTCAGTTTCACGAATCCCTCGAATTTCAAGGTCGCAAGCTTGGCAGATCTACATTTCAATTCGCGGATTTTGTCAAAGGGTTTGACAGACGTGGCAAGTTCTAATGTAGACTTAATCATTGTTTGGTAATGGGGTAGATTGAAATACTAGTTTTATTGAAACAGTAGTGCTCATGTTTACTCTGCATGATTTAGGTAATGTTGAATGACTTGAACATACTTTTTTCTAAATGTAAGCCTTCTTTGCTCCAAATGTGGTCTTTCGTGATAACAAAAAAGGTTTAATTTCTCCTAACTGGCTCCAAATTTGCATTTTAGTGCTCTAAAAGTAAGGTTCTGCTGCTTAGTTGCATGTGTCTTCTAGCAGTATGTGCACAGTCAAGCACTGCATGCCGCTTGTAACTTGTATAAATAATGTTGTCTATTCCGTTCCGCTGTCATGTGGTAAGGTTTATGTAGGACAAACGGGGCGCTGCCTCAACATATGCCTGTGTGATCATTGTAGCTCCTTAAAGGGTGCGCCGCTTTCCCATTTGTTCACCCAGCGGTTGCATCCCGGAATTTTTCCGCACAACCATTGTTTTCAGGCACGCTGAATTTCGCATAATAGAAATAGCAGAAGCCTTCGCGATCACAAAAAATGGTGAGGCGTGTGATAGTGCGCCGTCAATTGCATTACTGGATTGCGAGTTGACGTATTTGGAAAAAACTCTATGATGTTACATATGCAGTCTTTTGTCACGGCTGCACGTGCATGTTTTGTTCTTCTTTATTTACTTTGCTTTTCCGTTTCGCTTGAATAAAGCAAGAAACTGGTACAAGCGAGCAGACTAAACTGTCTTAAATATTCTCAGGCAACTCTCTAAAGAGCCTTAGTGCTCCTTGTAAACCTTACTTGTTGCAGCTGACGTGTTTCTCATCAATGTATCGATTGGTTGTGTTGGGTACCTTTTGGGATTCTGGATGCTCTTGATGTGCGTTGCTGTCCCTGCCGCTGCCGAATCATCGTCTGTCGTCATCGTCGCATAACGTGGTCACTGAAATGGCGGAGGCTCAAAGCTTAGGCCTAGCGGCTTGCATTGATACCGATGCTCAGAGCCAACGTTGCCCACTGTAGATTGTCTCCAACGGCTTGCTTTAAATGGGGCTTGCGCAGTTGCTGCACCCCGAGCAGCCTCACTCGAATGGGTCGAGATCTTCGGCCACCTCTCGGATCGCACGCGTTACAGTGCGCGCTCACGCCGATTCGAAATTTGTCTGCATCTTGTTGCTGTCTTTCTGCTTCTTCTGAAGTACTCTTGCGCATTACAATCATCCAGCAAAGTTCTCTGTTATTGCCATGAGCATGCAGTCCTCATGACAATAATGGAGTATTCGGCATGCTATCGGTGTATTAAAGTCACCGATCTGTGAGTAAATTTTTTCTGAATGCCTTGTGGTTCCCATTGTTGATTTGCATGGCACAAAAGCCAGTACATATGGTAAAAGTTTTGCCTCTTAATGTGTTTTTTGTGTTCTTTGTGTTGTCTTGCTTGTTGCTTTGAGTACAGGTTTTTTTTTTAAATCTATTTTGATATATTTTTTCTTACCTTTTCTATTTGGGAATTAATGGGATCTTCTGTTACATTAGAGTGCATGAGTGTTTACAGTATGTAGACTATCTCACTGGACAAGGAGGTGCATTTTCCATGTTTTGTAGCCTGTTGGGAGACATGGCAATTTTTGTGTATAAAAAGACAGTGCCAGCAAGCTTCACGGCATCTGATCAAATATAACTGCTCTCTGGCAGTTCACTAGGACTCCACTGTTGTGCTGTGCAGGTGTCCCTGAATGCTGTGATGAGTGTAATCCGCTGTGTCGTGTCCATGACAGTCAACGCTGCTGCTCCTGCGGGTGGCATAGCTGACAAGGTGAGTTCTTTGACTGAGACACTTCAGAGAAGCTTTGATTGAAGAGAGTGTTCATGGCAGAGTTCATCAGTGGCGCATTTACACCACGATTATGACATCGATAAAGTGGATGAGAAAGAAAAAACTGTAAGAAAAAGTTACTCTAGTGGGAATTGAACCGAGGACTTCTCAGACCACTTTAGGCGCGCGGTGCTCTCTTGATAGCTACCGAGACAGATGCACGGTCCTGTACAAACGCACCTCATACACATTTTCTCTTGCATGCTGCTTCCTGTTGGCGGGGCGATGTGGTGGTGGCACCGTTTGTGAGCTGTGGAGTGAAGTAATACATCATGAGACTTGCTAATGCTGTTAGAAAATGATTCGGCCCTGACACAGTCAAAACGTGGCCTCAAAGACCGGCAATCTCAGAGGTTCTGGTTAATGTGTCCTGATACCAGTAGGGGAAACTATGTCTGCACTTGGCATTGGGTAGATGCAGGGTAGGTGCAGGTAGGTTTTGCACCTTTCATTTCGTGTTAGCATGTGACGGCTCATTGTGCGAGTATTACATGCACAAACGTTGGTTCTCCACTGCAGGACTGCTTCAAGTGCGATAGCACTGACTAATGAAACTGCTGCGATGAATGCTGCGGAAAGGCAACAGTGTCGATGTGCAAATGGTGTGCCTTTGTAAGACAGGGGCCAGCCAGACTTGAAAAGCGTGCATGCGTTTGTGACTCGTGCTCCGAAACTCTGCCTCCTGTGTTGTGTATGCACAGGTGTAGGTTATCATATTACTCGGGAGCGCACATCGTGCTGTTTCTCTCCCAATAGGCCACGCTGTGAAGAAGCGTGTGTTGTGTACAATTGTGGATTATGCTTTTGTTGATATTTTCAGTGGTATAGAAAGGTACCTCAGGCAAGGGTGCCGAAATGATACAGAAGGAATGAAGACGACAATGTTGTTGTGGGCTGTGTCTGGACTGCCCTGTTGTCCTGCATCCTTGCGCGCTGTGTGCAGTGTTAGCCCAACCAGTATTAACTTATTAAGTGCTCCCCGTTACATATTTTTGGTGGAGGTGCAGGGTAACATCCCAGCTCTGGATCTCTCTAGCGGACGTCACCTGTCGTCCAGCCACGATGCCTGAAGACAGTGCACTGTCCGTCCAGTCTACACCTGCTCCGTCACCTGTGATCTCTTCCCATCTTCTGGATCTTGGTACATTTCGCGGCAGCGACACAACTGTCGTTGACGAGTGTCTCGTCCTATACGAGCGTGTCAGCAAGCAATACAGGTAGGATGAGATGTTTATGCTGGCCAACATCATTTTTTACCTACAAGGTACTGCACGTGGCTGGTACGAGGCGCACAGGGAAGACCTGACGAGTTAGGACGTGTGCTAGGAAAAGCTCTGTGATTTGTTCGGCCGGTCAGTTGCTCGACAAATGGCAGCCAGACAAGAGCTCGCGTCACGAGTTCAGTCTTCCACCGAGTCGTACGTCACCTATGGCCAAGACGTGCTCGGCTTGTGCCGGAAAGCCAACAACGACATGACAGAACTATACAAGGTGAGCAATGTGTTGAAAAGTACAGGTGATGATGCCTTCAACATTGTAATTGGCAAGAACTGTACCACCATTGACTCAATTGTCAGTGAATGTCAGCGGTTCGCACAAGCCAAAAGCAGGAGAATCACTCAACGCCTCACTCGACTCCCGAACACCGCTGTGGCTTCTTCCTGCGAGGATCCTGTGACACCACATCCACTCATGAATTCTCTCAACATCACAAAGATTGTCCGCCAGAAGCTGGAAGCCATGGCTCTCTCCGCTTATCAGCCCCCTATGCCAGACAACTTGGCCACAACACCGCTTATCCAAGCCGTTGTGCGACAAGAGTTTGCTTACATGGGCATCTGAGTTCCCCAAAACTCCAGCCACACACCACAGCCTATAAATCCAACCACTCATAACGCTCACTATCACGCCGCCCTCACTTGTTGCTGCTGCCGTGTCGATCCCGCGGTTCTTGTCTTGCTACCGAAATTCATCTCAATGGAGCACACAAAATGATCGACCGATATGCTTCTCTTGCTGTCGTGTTGGCCACATTGCCCGCCACTGCCGCAACAGATGGTCTTCCCGGCAACGTTTTCTAGACGACCAATGACTAGGATCGTAGGCAGTATTCGCCACCTCGTTTTGCCGATGACCACCTTCAGAATCTCCTGCCTAGCTGTTTTACGCTTCACTCCAAACCATCCTACGCTGATGTCGTCGCCCAGAGAACCCAGTCCAGCTGCTCACCGTCGGCTCAGGGTGAGCAGCTGGCAGCCGAACACCAGTTTTTGGTATGTGCACTGCCCGTGTCACTTTTGCCGGCCTTCACACTTCCGTCCTCTTCGCTGTTTTAGACGCTTGTCCACATGATGTAATTCTCGGCATTGACTTACAGACTCAGCTCTCATCGATCGTTCAACCCGCACTTTACGGCTAGAGTTGCCTTTGTACTTCGGTGTCGCTCCTGCAACTTGCACATGGCTATGGTGCTTGAAGTGTCTACGATTACCGTCTCAAGCTGCTGTGAACATTTCTATGTCGCCATTCCCACCTGTTCCTGATGGAGATTACCTGGCAGCTCCACTCACTGAACTGACTTTTTTCCCGGAACATCATAATTCCTCATACTGTAGTAAGGATTAGCGACAACAAGACTCTTCTCCCTGTCCCCAACTTCTCTTGTGTCGACCCAGGTCATTCTCAAGGTATTGCCTTAGCAAAACTCCACTCTGGAGCAATGTACAATTTCATCTCTCATTTCTGACATGCAGAATAGACGCGCAGAATAGAGCTTACTTGAATAAAATGATATTGAAGGACCTGTCGCCATCCCATGCTGATGTGCTACGTGGTCTTCTATTTTCTTATCTCGACATTTTTTATATCGGCGACCGTTCCTTGGGCCGCACGAGCGTCATAGCCCACCGTATTGCCACCTACTTCTAGTAGTGGGTCGTATGCCAAGGTGAAGGCTCACACCACAGAGAAGAAAGAAGTGCACGTGGGGCCCCCGCTCTGGCAAACAAGCCCAACCGACGCGCTTGGTTAGAGCCCTGTTGCTCAGACATCAATAAACCTTGTCGACACCCCCTGGAGTGACGTGACAGTATCGACACTGGCGACGCAGTCCCCTTCATAAGCGTCCCTATCGTGTTTCTCATTCAGAGCGCCAAATAATCCAGAAGGAGGCACATAAAATGCCCGACAAAGACGTCATAGAGCCTTCAACCAGTCCTTGGGCATCACCTGTTATGCTTGTTAAAAAGAAGGACAACACCTGGCGGTACTGCGTCGACTGTCGCCATCTCAATAGAATAACTAAGAAGGATGTCTATTCTCTACCTCGAATTGATGACGCGCTTGACTGCCTTCATGGTGCCAAGTATTTCTCTTCCCTGGACCTACGATCTGGTATTGGCAAATTTCAGTCGATGACCGCGACCGCGAGAAGACGGCATTCATAACACCCGACGGGCTTTATCAATTTAAAGTCATGCCTTTTGGGTTGTGCAATTCGCCTGCAACTGTTGAACGCATGATGGACTCCCTCCTTCGCGGTGTTAAATGTTCAATGTGCCTGTGCTATCTAGACGATGTCATTGTTTTCTCGCTAACCTTTGAAAGCCATCTTTCACATCTGTCTTGACGTTTTTCACTGTGCTGGCCTCCAGCTTAACGCGTCGAAGTGCACATTTCGATGCCGTCAGATCAAACTACTTGGCCACCTTGTTGATGCTACTGGTGTATGACCTGACCCTGACAAAGTCCGCACTGTATGCGAGCTCATGGTCCCTTGTTCCACGCAAGAAGTCTGCAGCTTTTTGGGGCTCTGCTCATATTTCTGCCGTTTTGTCAGCAACTTCGCGAAAATTGCTAGGCCCCTCACACATCTCCTCAGAAAGAATGTGGCTTTTTCCTGGCGTGATGACCAAGAACATTCCTTTGCCTCGCTAATTTCCGCGCTTACATTACCACCTGTGTAGGTTCATTTTGACCCAGCCGCTCAAATGGAGCTTTGCACCGATGCAAGTGGCCATGGCATAGGGACAATACTCGCTCAAATACAGAACGGCAGAAACGGTGCCATAGCGTACAAGACCGCGTACTTTTCCAGTCGGAAAATAACTATTCTATTACAGAGCGGGAGTGCCTGGCTCTCGTCTGGGCTATCGCAAAGTTCTGTCTGTACCTATATGGATGCCTGTTCGCAGTCATCGCAGACCACTATGCGCTCTGCTGGCTGTCAACACTTAAAGATCCTACAGGAATACTCGGGCGACAGGCATTGCTATTGCAGGGGTACATGTTCTCGGTAGTGTACAAGTGTGGCAAGCTTCACAGCGATGCCGACTGCTTATCTCGACACCCTGTTGATGCACCAAACTTCTTTGAGTTGAAAGCTGATGCAAACATCCTAGTCATAAGAGATTTTTGGCACATGGCCGACGTACAACGCCGAGATCCATCGCTGCTATCTATGATTGACTGTCTTTAATCGGGCCATAAAGACCCTTCATTGAGCCTGTTTTTGCTTCAAGACCCTTCATTCAGCCTGTTTTTGCTTCAAGACAACGTTTTGTACCGCTGCAACTTACAGCCCGATAGCGCAGAACTTTTGTTCATCGTTCCACAACATCTGTGCAAGGACATCTTTCGAGAACTTCAAAACCCCCCAACTACTCCTGGACATTTAGGCGTCTCCAGAACCTATGACCCCGTCCGCCAATGGGTATTCTGGAAGGGTCTTTATCGTTCTATTCACCGCTACGTTGCAGCATGTGACCTGTGCCAGAGCCAGAAGAAGCCTACGTGTTTCCCTGCCAGTTACCTTCAACCTATTGAAGTCCCAGCCGATCCGTTTCATCGGGTGGGGCTGGATTTGTTAGGTGCCTTCCAAACATGGGCAATGGGAAGCAAATGGATAGCAGTAGCTACGGATTATTCCACTTAATATGCAA